TACCATCCCATACTAAGGCTTCAAACATCCCCCATATACTCTTTGTTGACCCTCAAATATATGTATTCAGTTCCAAACTTTCTCCCAGTTTTCAGACCCAAATTTCCATCTACCCACAATGATACCTGAAAAACACCTCAAACTAAACTTGTCCAAAACCACATTACCTCCCCCTCAAAATTGCTTCTTTATGTTCCCTATTTCAATTAACACTATCAATCCATCCCATCAGCCAAGTGAGAAATCCCCCACTAATTCTCTCAACTCTTTTTCATAATAAATACTATTTATTAAAAGTGAAAATACAAGTTACAGATCAGAAGAGAATTTTTGTAACTAACTGTACTCAAAGTATATTAAAAAAAACTTTTAGAACTTAGTAAGAAAAAACCCCACAAAGTAGAAAACTGGGCAAGAGACTTAACAAGCAATTCACAGAAGAAACCAAATTGGGTAACACAAGATATTCAACATTATTAATAATTGGGGAAATGCAAATAAAGACCACAGTACCTTTTTATACCCCCTAAATTGGTAGAAATTTAAATGTCAGATACTACCAAATACTAATAAGAATATGAAGCAGTGATAACATTCATACTCTGCTATAGGAGTGTAAATTGCTGCAACCACTTTGGAAAACAATCTGATATCTTATGAAGTTAAAGTGTATATACCCCATGACCCTACTCCTAGGTCTTGTTGCATGTGTGTACCCCCAACTCCAGCCATAGGCAATCACTAATCTACATTCTGTTTCTATAGTTTTGCCTACTCTGGACATTTCGTATAAATGGAATCATACAGTCAACTCTATTTTGAAACCTCATGGAACTGCATGCCATTCTCTTCATTTTCCTACCACTATTCCCCTCTGACCTGGATTAGCACACTACTTTCCTGCCTACCTAGGCTTTCTGCCTCCACGCTCTTCACTTTGAATTCTTCCTCCATATTTTCACCAGAGATAATCAACCATACCAAACTCCTGCTTAAAAGCTTCAATGGCTCCCCATACCTACAGAATAAAGTCCAAATTATTTAGCAAAGTTTTTTTCAGAGGGATACATTGAAAGGTTTTTAAATTCGACAAACCCGGTTTCACTTCTAGCTAAATCTGAATACTGGCTTAGTCCAGAGTGTTCAAAGTTAAGGGTAAAAGGCAGAGGAGGGAAAAGGAAAGATGCGGAGAGGAGGGATGACAGGTGAGGAGTGAAAAAAAGGAGTCAGTAGTGTCTGAGGGGAGGGAAGTATCTTTCGAGGGTAGAAGCGGGTGTTTTCGAGGGTGTTACGTTTGAGAAAAGTAAGGGAGTCCAGATCTCTGAGCGAGCTGACAGTGTGGAGCTGGAGGTCTCAGAAACGGGAGTTCTCCGAGGAAATGAAGAAGTCCTGAGTCTCGAAGTGGGGAAAGAGCCTGAAGGAGTCGGGGACCAAGTCCCAGATACGAAGGAACTTCTACGGGTTCCGGGCCTCTACGGTGGGGAAGGAGAAGGCGCGGGGCAGGGGTAAGAAGCCGTCCCGGGACCCTGAGGGAAGTGAAAAGAGTAGGGGAAGGGGTCGAGGAGTGTCCCCAGCCGCTGAGAGGAGGCTCCGGGAAGCGAAGGAGTCTTGCCAGTGCTAAAAGACCGGAGCACCAAAGCTCCTAAGCCCAGGCGGGCGGCAGCCGCGCACGCGGGCCGGGGTGCCCTGGGTTAGTGCCCCACGCGCTCTCTTGGCGTTACCTGAGGTGGGACTGAGCAGCCAGAGGGGTGCCTGCGCGGGCGGGAGGGGGAGGCGGAGGCAAAGAGGGAGCATAGTAGCCCTCACAGCTCGGAGGCGGCAGCGGCTCTTAGCCTGCGGAGGCGGTAGGGCTCCCTCGCGCAGAAGCCGGCGACTCGGCTGGGCCAGCAGCGGCGGAGGACGAGGAGGCTACTGCCATGACCCCGCAGCCGGGGCCGCTCCACCCGCCTGTTCGGCGAGGCCAGGAGAATGATCCGGCCGGCGAGCCAAAGAGCGCAGCTGGAAGAGCCCCGGGCTGCCCGGTCGCGAGCGACTGAAACTCCTGCCCAGGCGGGCAGGGAAGCTAGGGGCGGGGTTTCAACAGTCACGCCCCTCTCCTCAAGCCCTCCCTCAGAGCAGCCAATCAATCGTTAATACTGGAAAAACGAGCTAGTGGAATTGCCCAATTAGCACTAGGAATGCCACGTGGTATGAGGGTGGACACAATGGGCGTTCAGAAAAGCCAATCATCAGCCCAAAGCGCCAACTCCGGAGGACGAAGGGAACCAATAGGAAGGAAGTAGAAGTAAAAACAGAAGAGGCAGTGTGCGGGAAAGGCGGAACCAAGGGCGGAACCAAGGAGGAGGGAATACACCTGGGGAAAACCCGAGCCCAGGAGCCTCTCAGAGGGCGGGAGAGTAAACACAAAATGGGCCAATCAAAATGCCAAACATATAAGCGCTTGGTAATTGATAGAGGCAACAGAAAATGGATTCTACTGGCGCGGCTTTTGGCTTGGTGAAGATATTGCTGAATAAGGACTTGAGTAGGCAAAAGCCGTATGAACGCAGAGTCGGACAGGATCTCACTACAGTGTGGAGGGAAAACTGAAATAAACAATTATTAGCGACTTGAGATAGTAAGAGCAATGGGTATAAATGCTGAGCGAGCAATACCTTTAAGCTAAGAGATTCGATTTGGTGAAGCCTTCTTCCAGGAGGTTAACACTTGAGCTGGCTTGAAAACAGGTTAGGGAATAAGAATGCTATTCAGCTGTTCAACAGGCACATATTTCCTCATGCTTTCCATACGCCTGCACCTCATGCCATCAAGGCATGAGCCTTGATGATCTCATGCCTGAGCAGATTGAAGCTTCCAGGGCAAGAGCAGGCAAACAGTGGAGTATGGCCTTCCTGCACCCACCTTCCCTGGGGTTAGAGACCTCCTTTGTGCCATCTTTAGACTTGCCTCCTGTTGGAAGGGTCTTGACAGATGAGTGGGATTTGAACAGTTGGAGTATAGGTGGTGTGCATTTTTGGTGGCAATAAAGTTTAAGAAAGATGTGTGGTAAGAGATAGAAGGCAGAGATAAGAGGTTAAATGTGGGTTCAGCTTAAATGCCAAACTTGTCCTTTCTTTTTTATGCTGGAAGAATTATCAGAGGTTCTTTAGCAGGAGAGTAGCCTTTACAGGACACTGTTTTAGGAAGATTGATAGCTCACAGGATCTCTAAAGGGAGAAAAGAGGTCACCATCACCCAGTCCCCTTGGCAAGCCTTTTCTGTATCATTCTCCTGGCAACAAATCATGTGCTGCCACCTGGTGACAGTTCAAATACCATTGTTCCACATTGCTATTTAATGTTTCTGTTGGAGCCCTGGCACCCTTGCAAACCTGTCTTCCACAGACCTTGATGCAAAGTAGTTGATAAATAAGTAGAGCACTGGTAGCAAGTAGATTAAATAGTGCCATTATGCCAGATATATCACCTGCCCAGTAAAAGATGTAAAAGACAGGGGTTCCTTGTATCTGCTTCAGCAGGAAGATAAGCCTTCATGGGAACTTTTGGGTTTTGTTTTTTTGAACAGGTTCTGTTGGACCCAGGTCTCATCTCTACCATTCCATTCTCATCAATCTCCCTAATGCTGAGGGGGAAGAAAACATGAGGATTGCCTTATAGCTATTCAGGTGTCAAAGGCCCACCCTTCATGACCTGTCTGCTGAATAGGCCAGGGCCTTGAATGTACCCCAAAACAGGAAGTAGTTCCTGCTCTACTCACCCCAGCCTTTTATTATGCTTTTATTTCAGATAACTGTCTCCTCTTCCCAGCTAGACTGAGCTAAGAGATGGGAGTCCACTGCACATCTTAGCTTAGGACAAATATATACCAGGACTGGTATGTATTATGCTCAATAAACATCCACTTGGTGGATAAATGACATTATTTTTGGGGCTGTATTTAGCACTGGAAGAGACCTAATGAGACCTCAGTGAGACGCTGCTACTTCTAGGGAAACCCTGGACGGCACTGTCTAGAATACAAAGCCCAGGTAAGGAAAAAGTAAAGCTTCCCTAAGTCTACCCAGGAAGGTATACTTCCAGAGAGCAACCAAGTGGTGGAAGGATCAGAACCAATAGGCACAAAGCATTTTAAAAAATATAATAGGAAATATCAGAGTGCATAACTCTTAGTAAGAATAGTATTGAATAAGGGCTTCCCTGGTGGCACAGTGGTTGAGAGTCCACCTGCTGATGCAGGGGACACGGGTTCGCGCCCCGGTCTGGGAAGATCCCACATGCCGCGGAGCGGCTGGGCCCGTGAGCCATGGCCGCTGAGCCTGCGCGTCCAGAGCCTGTGCTCCGCAACGGGAGAGGCCACAACAGTGAAAGGCCCGCGTACCGCAAAAATAAATAAATAAATAAATTAAATTAAATACAGCATTGTTTCTCATCATCAAAAAAAAAAAATTTAAAGAATAGTATTGAATCATAAAATTTGTTTCAGTTAATAAATACATACATTTATATTTACTATGCTACAATGTAAACTGTATTTCTTACTGGAGGTCACAGTCAAAAAGCCCTGAACACCATTGGACTAGAGGTAGAGACTGAAAGAAGAGAGACTAAGGAGGAGACTGCTGCAGAAATGCAGCCTGGACTGCTGAGGATGAAGAAATATGGAGGGGCTAGAGTGAGCCTCAAGAGGCAGAAGCTGAAAAAAAAGGAGAGGAAGCATTCTATTTGCCAGGTCAAAGGCCCACCAGAGTGTCTTGCCCTCCTCCGCATCCCCATAGCAGTACTGCCCCAGAGCATTGTCCTACCTCATTCTACCCACCAGAATGGGAGCTCTTCCTTCCAACGTCCACTGAGCACAGGGCTTGCACTCAGAAGATACAGTTATAAATGTCTACAAACTTGGATTTCAGAGAGAGAGGTGACAGGAAGCAGTCAAGTCACAGGTACAGCTGAGTCTATCCCATGTGGGTGCTGATTCACAGAAAACACATCAGGCAGGATTAAACCATTTTATTGCTTGTGGGTAAGGCTGGACAGGCAGTGACAAACCTCAGTAGGGAGGGCAAACACCAGCTAGATCAAGAGGGGAGGGGAAGGGGACCCAGAAACAGGACCTTGGAGGAGAAGGTGAGCAAAGAAGACATCATCCTACTGCTCTTACAAGTCCTTACAGTCACTCAGGAGCATCTTGGGGCCCTTAAAGTATAGGGCTCTGGGCCTGGAGCTGAAAGCTGCTGGGCTGCAGGTTAGAAAGGGTATGCCTCTGGAGATCTAAGAGGAAAGAAAGGGAAGAGAGAACAAATCATCAGCAAGCACTGTGATACATACAGACCTAAGCTGTGGGCCCTGATGGGGAAGGACATAAAGGCCTGACTCGGGATAAGGAGCAACGGAGGTTGATGGATTCACAAAGAAAGAAGCAGAGACTCCATTCTACCCAATGTCAAACAATTAGGCAGCTGGCATCCAGGCACCATTCAGATTCAGCTTCCCCAAGATCCATGCCTTACCCCCACCTAGCTACCTTAAAAGTTCCCAACTACTGTTACTGTCTGGAAGACTGACTTCAGAGCTAGATGAAGAAAGAGACATGGCGAAGGTGGCAGCCAGAGGCAGCTTAGACTGGAGGACGTGAACGGAAGTCCTGCAAAGGGGAAAGAATCAGAGGCAGAGATGGTGATGGTGGGTCAAGGGGGCCCTCCCAGCACAGAACTGTCCTCCTTCCTGAGGCTAGGACTCCAGTCCCCTCCCCCTTTATCCTCCAAATATATAGAAATACCTCGGTGACTCTGTGTCAAGTAAAGAATGCCCGGTACTGCCCGTATGGGCTGCAACCCCTACCATACCACCCCTACCAGCCCATTTCAAATTTAAGATAGCTAGCTGAACTTTGGTCCCTAGTGCCTGGTCTCTGTGAGACAAATCCCTTCCACTACCGCAAGCAACCATACTCCCTGACCTGAGGGGGTCGTGCTCCCACCGGGCATCCTGGACCTCTGTCCTGGCAGCCTCCAGGGTGTGACTTTTGCCCTCCTGGCCACTTTCCAGCTGATCCAACATCTGCCAGACCATGGGCCCAGGTAGGACCAAACCTCTCCCTCTCCAGAAGCAACTCCCCCTCCCCACAATTAGCCTCTTCAGCACACTTGGAACCCTCATGTGGACAAAGATAGTTTCTCATGGCCTGGAGCAGAGGGCTTGGGAAGAAGAGCTTTGGAGGCAGGTGGAGTCAGCAGAGGGAAGAGAAGGAAAGAGATAGGGATAGGAGAGGGTATCCTGGCCCGCCAGCAAAACAGGATAGACAGAGAAAGGACGGGGCCTCCAAAGGGAGATGTGAACAGATAGGTCCGATCCTGGTCCTACCTTCCAGCTGTGGGCCTGAGCTTGCTGCCCCTCAGTCATCTGTTTCAGCAGCAGCTCCTGGTGCTGGCCTGTGGATGAGAGAAAATGTAAGGGGGATGTTCTCCAACTTCCTTCCTTCCCCTTCTCTGGCACTGAAAACTAGGACAGAAGCATTCTGGTCCAGCTGCTGAGAAGTTTCCAAGCTGACTGGGGAGACTAGACTCACACCATGAGAGGTAAGACAAAATATTTGGCCAGATTTCTAGGAAGCTCAAGCAGTCAGAGCTATGGTCATTTATTAGGAAAGCAAGAAGGCTTTCCAGAAAAGGGAACAGGTGACTTCACACCCACCCCCAATCTTTTACTCACTCAGCTGGTCCTGCAGCAACTTCAATTCCTCCCGAAGAATCTCTGACTCCTCCCACAGCAGTTGCAGCCTGCAGGAATGACAGCAGTGTCATTCTAAAGCCAATTAACAAGCCCAGAGGAGGCTACCAGAGTACCAGGAGTTCAGAGGCCTGAAGAAGGTGAAGTTTTGCCCATCACTTACTCATTCTGCAGCTCTTGGTGAAGGCCACTGGTAGCACTGCACTTTTGTGGTCCTGTTTGTATTTGGGCTCGCGCCTGTTCCTGTACCTGGTTTCGAAGGCCCTGCAGTTCCCTTCTCAGCCCCTCCAGGCGTTGCTCCAGGAGAAGGACCCTTTGCTCTGGGCCCCCCTGCAGCAACCTTAGTGATGCTGTAGTGGGACAAGTTGGGGATCAGCCCCTCTAAGAACTTCACACATGAGCCTAGAGACTCCACTTGCAAATCAAGACACAAGCACACACACAACAGGAGTGCACCAAAATGTGTTCACACATATGAGACTGTGTATATGAAGAAAAGAACTGATCAGATACCTTCTAGGGCAGAGATCTGGTACTTCTGCTGCTCTCGCTCTTCCAGCAGGCCCTGCACAGCTTGCCTTAGTGCCTCAGTCACCTACCCAGGCAGAAAAACCACACGAGTTATTGTGCAAGGGGCTCCGCCAACCCCTGGTATCTTCATCTCACACAAACCCCAAACATACTCACCTAGGAGTCCATGCCTCACCTGAGCCTGGGATCGAAGCTGGGATCGAAGAATAGTAAATTCATCCCAGAGAAGATGCACTACAGGCCTCAGCCCAACTTAGTCTCTCTGGGACAATGGGAGTCTCTAGAGCCCAAGGCTGTTGAGCTTGGACTCCTGACTGGGGAGGCAAGTAATGAGGGGAATCCAGGTCCCAGTCAGGTCTCCTGCTGAGGGAATAAGGAAGGGACGAGTGCAAAGCCTATTGGGGGGGGGGGGGCGAAATGTTTGTTCAGGAAAATAAAAAGCTGGAATTTGCAAGGACTAGTGGACGGCATAGGCACTGGAAAAAGGCAGATTCTGGAAAGAGAAAAGGCTGAGGGATAGGTAGAAAAAGGAACAATACCCGTGGTGGAGACTCCAAGGGGATACAGCCTTTGCTACAAAAAAAACAAATGCACAGGCCAATGAGTTCTGTCTTGCAGTCCCTTAACCCACATCCCCTAAACCAGAAGGCGGGGAACTCAGGCGCCCCCTCACCTTAATCCTGGCCACATTTCCGTCAGTAGCATTGAGAAGCGCACCGAGCTGCTCAGACCATCTCAGGCTCCTACTCATAGCCTGCGGCAGAGCTCTGGCTCCCTGGCATCTTGTGCCCTTGCTCTCCCAACTGTGGGCACCCAAGGCACAGCCCAGGAAAGACCACAACGTCAGATCTAAAGAGGTGAGTGGGGGATGCAATAATAGAGGTAAGGATGCAGTATCAGACCAAAACTGCGCCTCTGGGACTAGTCAGGGGAGCAACGTCCTTGGGGAACTGGTGGAAAAGCGGGATGCCCTGATACGCAGATATCAGATGGGAGTTAAAAGGTACCGAATCTTGGTCGAGACCTCTCCAGACGCACGACACTTGCGCCATCACACCGAACCTGTGCCAGCGACTACTGCCGCCGCCCGGTTCAAACCTTACGGTCGGCCGGGAAAGCCCGACTTCGCACTGGCCTCCGCGGTGCCACTTGGGAAACTGAGTTCACCTCTACTGGAGACAGCTGGCGATGCAGGCTACCGAACTACGTTTCCCTAGAAGCAACACGCGCAGTCACAGCCCCACCGTGAAGCTTGCCGGGAAACTGAGTCCTTCGGCTTCTGTAGTGGCTGTCTCTAAGGACCGAATGTGTCCCAGGATGCATCGCGCAGAGCCAACGAAGTCCCGCTGCCGATCCCAGTAGTTCTTGGGAAATGGAGTCCAAGCTGCCTCAAAGCTTAACGTCCCGAGTTACCTTGAGACTCCATTCCCCAGCAGGCTCAGCGTGTAGCGTGCGCTATGGAGCCGCAAGTTGCAGAGCTGAAGCAGAAGATTGAGGACACGTTGTGCTCTTTCGGCTTCGAGGTTTACCCCTTCCAGGTTGGTTTATCCCTACTGTGGTGCTAGGGCGAAGTGTATGGTTGGCTTCGGTGCCACCGGCGTGAGGCCCTGGAGTCCTCTGAACTTTCCCGAGCTCTTCTGGCCCCGTGTTCGTTTGACGTATCGGGACAGGGTCTCAATGGACGCTTGGTTTAAACGGGTAGAGAACTGTTGCAGGTTTGTCCTTTTACCCTCATACAATGCCGGATTGATGAATAGGAGACACCATATGATCCAGTAACCCTGTGGCTTTGTCACCTACGTAATTTACAGGAAGAAAGGTACTGTGGGGCCAGAGTCATTTTGGAAGCTTCCCGAAGGAGTTGGGAGGAGGGCAAGGCCTGGAATGTTTGCATGGCTAGAATTTTGGTCATCTGATTAGCGAAGGGCATTCATGGTGTTGAACAAGCAAACAGTTGGCTGGGTTGTTCCATCTACCGATAAAAGGTTACATTCATGATGTTGCCAGTCACCAGTGCTGGGCTGGGTATATAAACTATACACTTGCCTGACACAGAAGTCTGGCATCACCACCTACCCTTGTTCACATAGGTCCATTTCCCTATATCCAGTGTCCCCTGCACTGAACCCTGTGCTTGGAAACAAAGCTAAGTCAACTCAGCTTGAGCCTTTTGCCTGATGCTTAAGAGGCAGCCCACTTCCACCCCTTCCACTGAGTGGCACACAGCAGTGCTGGGACGGGATTATAGAGGAAGAAGTAGGTTGGATCTAGCCTCAGAGAGGCTTACCTGGAAAAAATGGAGTTGAACTATATATGAAAAGATAGATTGGAAGGTTATATACATCCCAAATATCAGGAAGAGCTTGAATAAAGGTGTTGAGGTAGTAGTGGTGGATGGCAGGTATGAGGGAGAGTGGAGATGCCTAGCTGGTGCAATCAGGTAGGCCTGGATAGGGGGAGCTATGGTATTGAACAGTGCCATATACAGCCCTGCCAATCATCCTGAGCTCCTCCTTCTCTCACCTCCCTAGCTCCACATACAATCAGCCAGAGACCTTTAGCAACAATCTGTCTCCTATCCCAGACCCATTTCCTTCCATTCAACCCATCTATGCTCCTGGTCCAGGCCACTATTTCTCATTTGAATTTCTGCAGTAACCTCCTTCCTGCCACTTTGCCTCCATTCCATCCTCCACACTGCAGCCAGACTGATCTAAAACTGATCATGTCAGTTTACTCCTTAAATCTTCAATGGCTAGCCCTCATTGTCACCAAATTAGACCCATATTCCTCAAATTGGCAGTATTCAAGGCCAGTCACAGTCTTACTCCTACTGATCTCTCCAGCCTTCTCTCCCTCTGCTCCCCTCTACAGATGCTTCACTTCTGTCAAACTAGACAATTTGCTATTCTCCAACTATGCCTTGCACTTTTTACCTTTGTTTATGCTGGGACCTACTTAAAACACATACCAGATTCTCCCTCTACACGTCAGCCTGTAAAGTTTCCTTCCTAGCCTTCAAGACTCAGCTTCCAAGCCTTTTCTAATTTCAGAGGGCCTTCACTGGCCCTGTTATTGCACTAATCACAATATAATCAAATTTTTTTTGTCCTTAGTTTTTTATGAATTCTTTTCTTCCCTATTGTAACTCCCTGTCAGATTCAGTTGCGTCCCCATAAACACACATCATACATCAGTAGAATTTCATTGATTAAATAAGATGGAGGCTGGGCAAGATGCATGAAGCCTTGAATGCAAAGCTAAGGTATGGGCCTGGCTAAGGCCTAAGTTGGCCCTCGTGTGGCCTGAATTTTCTCTATTCCAGGTGGCATGGTACAATGCACTCCTGCCTCCAGCCTTCCACCTGCCCCTGCCAGGACCTACCCTGGCCTTCCTGGTACTCAGCACACCTGCCATGTTTGACCGGGCCCTCAAGCCCTTCCTGCAGAGCTGCCACCTCCAGCCACTGACTGACCCTGTGGACCAGTGTGTGGCCTACCACCTGGGCCGTGTTAGAGAGGTGAGCAAGGCTGGCTGTAGCCTTCCCCAGCTTCAAAACCTGCACCTGCTTCCAGCTCCTCGACTAGACCTGCTTAGGGCTAGGAGCCACTTCCCGGGCAGAAGGGTATCCTAAAGCCAGCCTTGACAATATGATCTCTCCCCATTCTGCCTTCTCACCCCAGGTTTGGCCACCTCCTCTAGCAGCCCCCTAGGTCTGAAACCAGTCTCACTCACCCTTCACTGATGTACAACTCTATGATCAGAGTTCCCTTGGCCTCCAAGTGAAATGGGAATAAGCCCAACATTCCCCACGCATCTCTCCCCTTTCTTTGCCCTAGACCTGGAAGCTTTATGCTATCTTTGGGGTCTTTTGAGGACAGAATACTCCCCCACTACACACTTTACATGTATATACACACGTACACATACACTGGGTCTCCCCAAAGCTGGGCCATGTCTTCCTCCACATTGGGCCTCCGGAGAGCAGAGCCAAGTCACCCCTCATAAAGGTTTCTGAACAAGACTGTATTTCCCTTCAAACATGGGCCCTCCTAGACACAATATTGTTTTCTTCACGCTGGAGCCCCCAGCCCCACTCCAAGTTTAAGATCATGTTTCCCCTTTAAACATGACTTCTGAGGACAGGGCCGTGTTAACACAAGGCGCTGTTGGACATGGTCATGATTCCTCTTGTGCTAAAAGCTTCCATCTTGTTCTCTATCACAGAGCCTCCCAGAGATGCAAGTAGAAATCATCGCTGACTACGAGGTACACCCAAACCGGCGCCCCAAGATTCTGGCCCAGACAGCAGCCCATGTGGCAGGGGCAGCTTATTACTACCAACGACAGGATGTGGAGTCTGACCCCTGGGGAACCCAGGTCAGAGGGCAAATATGAATAGGGGCTGGAAAAGGAAAGGAAAATCCCTCAAGATTTCAAGTCCCAGGAGTTCCCTGGAGGCCTGGTGTTTAGGATTCCGGGGTTTCACTGCCATGGCCCGGGTTCATTACCTGGTTGGGGAACTGAGAATCCCGCAAACCGCGAGGCACAGCCAAAAGAAAAAAAAGATTTCAGATGTCATTCTTCCACCTCCCCTGGGTAAAGGAATTGATGGGTACAATCCAGGACAAAGGTGCACCATGGTCAGAGGTCTGGCTCCTAGAGACACATCAGTCAGAGAACTAGTCTGTTCTTAGTCTTTGTGATAGAACGGAGGGGGCAGAGCTGTGATTAGAGTGGTGAGACTGGGAAGCTCAAGTTCAGCTCAAGGAACCTTTCCTTGTGGTCAGTGACTTCATGAAAAAAGTTGTCCAGGAGAGGGAATAGAGGAGTCCAGTCAAGGACTGACCGAGGCTCACATGTGGACTCAGAATAAGAAATGAGAATAAGTGAACAAACCTAGCTTGCATTGCTGGTAGCTGGATTTGGTGCCAAGACGACCTCCATGACTGTTTTCTTTTTTACCCACTCCCCAGCACATATCAGGTGTGTGCATACATCCCAGATTCGGGGGCTGGTTTGCCATCCGAGGGGCCGTGCTGCTGCGAGGAATAGAGGTGCCAGACCTGCCACCCACAAAGCCCCTCGACTGTGTACCTGCAAGAGCTGACCGGATCACCCTGCTTGAACGCTTCAACTTCCATTGGCGTGACTGGACTTACCGGGATGCTGTGCCACCTCAGGAGCGCTACTCAGAAGAGCAGAAGGCCTACTTTTCCACTCCGCCTGCCCAACGCTTGGCCTTATTGGGCTTGGCCCAGACCTCAGAGGAGCCTAGCTCTACATCCCAAGAGCTTCATTTCACCACATTCATCCCCAAGAAGCCTCAGAGTCCCAGCAGAGGCTGGCTCAGCCCCAGGGTCTCACCACCTGCATCCTCTGGCCCTTGATACCCTCCCCTCCCCTGTGGGATCCTCATTTATGACAGTTGCACCTGCTGGGACTTATTTGGCTAGACAAGATTTTATTGGGTACAAGATGATCATTTTTGATAAAGAATTATAGTAGAAATCTTAAATGAAGATAACAAGTCTAAAAGAAGTTTGGTCAAAAGACCAAAGCAGATCCAGACTTGCCACCTGCCTTGGAATATGGGATTATTACCTGTTACCATTTCTCTGCAGTGCTTCAAGATGCTATTTGTTACAGGGCTTAAGAAGCAACTATCCCCTAAATAACGGTACCTGCCTCAGAGGGTTCTTATGGAGACTGAATACAAAATAGTACCTGGCATATAATAAGCTATTATTAAAGGCCCCAGGAATCCTATACTGCCGCTCATAGCTCTTGCTTGTCTGAATACTGGAGGGCTAGGTAGGCTGGGGTAGCCGTGTCTGGAAGGTGTCTAGAAGGGCACCACATGATATACAGAAGGATTCTCAGTCCTGAATCTGCCCTAGCCTCAAGAACCCAGGAGGAATCCACCTTTGCCCCACTGACAACCCTCCCTCAGGACAATGATATGAGGATAAGAACTACCCTTAAATCAAGGATAGAAACCCCAGGGAAGCCAAGAGGTGCTCAGCACTGTGCTTTTGAC